AGGGCTTGCGTTTTTCCAGGGGCATGCCTTCAAGTACACTGCCGACACGTCATCGGTCTGGACGGAACACATCTCAAGGGTGATATGAACAAGCGCGGAGTGTTTCTGTTGGCGACCACGAAGGACCTAGAAGGCCATGTGGAGAAGCGCGAGAACAAGATTTGTTCTCTGAGAAAGGCGGCATAAACGATCGACCAAAAATCAAGGGGATCAATGATCGAGAGAAGGGCGACCTGAACAAGACTGGGATTGCGGAGATCGAGGAGACTCGACGAGCGATCGAGGCACCGGGATGATACTCGCACGTAGGCGGGGTGTGGAACCAGGTAGATCAAAGCTGATCGACACATGGAGAGTGGTGATGCCTCGTCCCACACCGATCGAAGAGGCGCCGTGCGAAGGGCGCGTGTCGAAAGCGAAGGACGTCATGCACGAGGGCAAGATCAACGAGCGACATCGTAGAGTGCGACGGCTGAAGACCGAAGTGGACTGATCGCGATCGAGAGCTGTGGATCGTCGATCGTCGATCGCCGATCAGCCAAGATGGGGAGCACATGGGGGCGAAGCCAGGACAAGAATCCAGTAGTTGTTTAGTTGTAGGATGGTAGGTGAGATGGTAGTGGTAGCGAGACACCAGCTAAACATAAATCAGAGCAGAATTTGCACCGAAGAGCACAAGTCCCCTCAAGTCGTCAAGTCCCAGGAACTACATTGGCCTCGGCAAGCATCGACACTTTGGACAGTGAGCTAGTGGTACGGTTAAGACTGGATTAATACATTGGCCAGCTTGACCTACTCTAGCGATCTATTTCTTGTGTGCGAATCCTCGATCGACCGGATACTGCTTGGCCGGCGATCGTTTCTCCTCTCGATCAACCTCGATCCCGCTATAGGAAGCGGCAAGCAACTCACGAAAGGAAGGAACACACCCGGAAAGGCAACTACAGGCCGTGGATCGACTCCAGGCCGACCGATCGGAGCGAACAACCCTCGATCGGAGCGTATACTCGGACGCAGAGCGAAGATTCCCGCGCTGCTCCACAACCTATCCCCGCGTCACGCCAATACATTCGATCTTCACCAGATTTTGGCCGATCCCGCTACACCACAGCCACATCCTAGTTTTCGGACTCGCTATTGTCGATCAAGAGGATTACTCATTGGAGCTGGTTCCTGCAGAACATGAAAGACGCGCTTCAAGACGTCTCGGCGTGGAAACCTGTGTTCGTATCGGACAGACAGAAGGGTCTCCTGGCGTCTGTGACGGAGTTGTATCCGGATTCCGGACATCGATTTTGCGTTGGGCACATTATCACCAACATCGAGAAGAAGGGTTCCGCGCTGACGCCGGCAGAACAGTCACTTGTGTTTCAGATGGCACGTAGCGAATGCGAGAACGACTACAAGTTTTACAGCTCAAAACTCTCGGAGACTCGCCCTTTGGCTGTGGAGTATCTCGCTGGAATTGACAAGTCGCACTGGGTGAGGGTGACATACGCGTTCAACGAGAAGTACAACCAACCCTCTTATGACGAGGTCACTTCCAACCTGTCCGAGGCAGCGAACAGTTGGTTGGGCAATGCATTGCGGTCGTCCTACCCCTTGGAAGCTTTCGAGCAATACTTCGTCAAGGTGTTTGAGCTGTTCGCCGAAAGGCGCCGCACCTCCTCGCGACAGAAGGGTCCAGGTAGCAACGCAGGACACGCAAGCACCTCCCAAGGTGAGCCGTACGACGATTGCGAAATTGACGTGATGAGGACCACCCCTGCAGCCTTCTCGGACTTTCTCCTTCCCACCTACAAGAAGAAGCTCGACGGGATCATGGCTATTACGAAAACCCTGCAGATTTTGCCGTGCCTTGATGGCCAGTACATGGTGCGATTTACGGACATCAGCAGCAGACCGGACCACGCCCATCTGTGGCGAACCGTGAACTTGATCGAGAAGGAATGCAACGTGCCGACGCTGGCAAGACCTGATGTTCCCGTGTGTCCATGCAGTCAAAGCTGCAATTCATCACGGAATGCACGTGAGCGAGCTTTTCGCCTGGAAGGAACACACCGTGTCGGTCGCGCGGTGGACATATTACTACCAGTTTGTCCCGACCGTCCGCTCGGCGACCATCGCTCAGGATCTTCAACTGCTAGTACCTGAAGTCATCGTCACTGAAGCTGACTTAGGGAAGCGTGGCATGAAGCCGGGTCCAAAGCCGAAGAACAAACGCAGGTCTGCACGACCAGGTTCTGCGGCGTCGCCTGCCGTTGCTATGACTCAATAATACTAGAGCTGCAAGACGTATGCAGTAGAGTCGTAAGTCTTTGCAAAAGCATAACAAAGCAAAAATTACATTTCGAATTCTTAGTGTCAATACGTCGAGAACGGACCTTGGTTTTCTTAAAATTCTTCTCGTACGAAAATGATATCATAAAATTCTTATTTACCTTTAATAGAACTTGGATCGAAGGAAAGTATTATACACGTGATAGTTCAAGGATAGATAATATACTGCAAGGATAAACTTAAGTGAAAGATATTATATCTGTAATATCGTACGAATGTGTTACTTTGATGCTTACTGTGACTTGACGAAAATTGGTATTCCATAGCAACAATTCGCACGATCGTACGACTTGACTTCCCAGTAATACAACTCGTTCTTGTGCGCTATTATTGATACTGACGCAATGTAAATGAAAGAAGTATATACAACAAATTTATTATCATTTGCTGCTTAGACCATTTCATCAAAATAAAGTGAAAAAAAATATTTTTAATTACTCAAAAATGAAGAAAATAAAGCTGTATGGCTAGCCGGATGGCTACATCCGAATGGGAACTCTACACGTAGGGCAGTTAGCTACATCTTCGGCCTGAATGCTTCTCGCCACGTACATTGACATGCACTCGGCACACATGGCATGTCAGCATGAGCGCGGGGTGACCGGCGCCACTGGCGCGTACTAGCAAATGGCGCAAGTTGATAGGTCCTCGTCTTGGTCCTCCTCCCCCGTAATGTCGATCACCGTTGGGGGAGCTGGTGCCGAGAAAACACGTCGTCGTCGAGCAGAGCGGGGAGGTGAGCTCTGAGCTGTTGTTGAACCCCCTAACTCAATGTCCCCAGGCACAGACAGGACGAGCGACTCAACAACAGTCGTGGTCACGTCACCTGCGGCCGTAGTGATGATACGCAGGTCAAGCTCGTTAAGCGCGTCACGGCGAGCGCGGTGGTACAGCTTATCGTACTCGCGCTTGTAGGCTCGGGCCTTTTCCAGTCGCTGAGCCTTTAGGATCGGGTACCGCTTTTCCAGGCACGCACGCTTGCCAACGAGCTGCCGCAGACTTGAGACAACCCAGTTGGTGTTGCACAGGGGGCAGTTGGCACCATGATGTTTTCAATAATGAGGCACCTACTTATTTTGTTATCGCTGATGTTCCGTTTGCTCGTCCTCCATCATCTTCATATCTTACCCTGTCCTTAATTCTTATCGCGTTTTCAAGTTCTGATAAAACGTTATTTTTGACCGTGGCAATCTACTTGCAAGTTGATGCATTCACCTACTTAGACTTTTACAAAAATTCTTCAATCTACTTGAATTACTTAATTCCTCCATATGCGCACTACTTATTAGGGCATCTCCACCGGTGCTGAGTAAAACTAAAAGCAAATTGCCCTAAGATCCGTGCCTACAACGGCACAACCGTGCTAAAGACAGTGCGCAGCTCCACCGGCAATTGAGACTCGCAGCAAGCGCGTTAAAGCTCTTGGTTCGGCGCCAGCCATGGCGACGGCGCACAGCTGTATAGCCCTATAAAGGGCCCGGCAGCACGTTGAGGAAGACCCAGGGATGACGTAGCAAGGGCGACACTGCGGTCTGTGACGCTTGCGCTGCTTAGAACGCTTGACTTGGCCCTACTACTGGTCGGTCGACATTTACATGTACTCAACATTTTACTCAAAGCCTCCTCCGTTGGCAAACTTGTGCAAAACGTTGATCTGCGTAAAAAATGGAGCAATTTGCTCAGCATTTGCTCAAACCGGTGGAGCTGTACAAAACTAAAACTATGATTAAATATTGACAGAAAAGGGGTAAAATTTAGTTTTACTCACGACCGGTGGAGATGCTCCTAGTGCTGATTCATACTCTTTCGTAAGACGATACTTAGCCCCAGAATGCCTATCATAAGACAAAGCGTCTTACGTTTTCCGATCAACGCGTTTTGACTACATTTTGGTTGTTGTATACCAGTGGCTACATTGCATATTGTCTGTCAAAACATAAGACAGTTTGTCGGACACTAGTTTGCGCCATACAATTGGCCAAAAATGTTCAGGTCTGCTCGCCACGACAGCGGCATCGTTGCCGCGGACGCGGTGGCAACGTTGAGCGCCGAAACGATGCAGTTGCATGATGCGGTAGGGTAAGTAGCCTCCTGTTCACACACGAAGCGATGTGCCTGTAGTTGGCCACTGGCAGCAAGCTTAAATATCGGCATAATGACTGCACGAACGCGTGCATGCAGTCCGTGGAGCTGTTCCACTCAGAGGTGCAGCCGTTGTAGGGCACGGAGTTACGATGAAGTTTGTAGACGTAGACTAAGAGGGACAAATAGCTCGTAACGGTACTACATGTACATTTTAATGTAGTAATTTTTATGCTTGAGCGTACATCATAGTAGTTGTGAAGGCGAGGCAGCCAGGGAACGGTGTTGCCAGTGGGCTTCCCGAGATCCTCCGACCCCCTCTTACCTAATCATTACAGTCCAGCAACAAAATGCAACCACGTACTCTGCAACGGCGATAACACCTAGATATTGTACCTACGACGCTGAAGGTGCGGAGGAGCTCCACACTGCTGCGCGGGCGCTCGGCGCGCGCCATATCGCTGCTGGGCTCGACCTTCGGCATCGGCGAGTTACTCGGTATCTCCTGCAACTAAGCCACTGCCTGCAGCCATGCTTTTTGTCGATGCTACAGCGTAGACTGGTTTGCGTATGCGCCCTCTATCCGAATCTCCATCTTCTATGTAGTGTTAGTACTTTACTGTAGAAAGGAGAGTTGGCGTGGTGGGGTGAACGACTGTTGTCGTTCACCCCAGTAAAGCGAAGAAACATTGCTCCACTACGGGAACAAACGGTCGTACGATAACTGTGCTATGATGTCCTTACATTCCATTCCTGGCAAGTATATTTAAATCTTCTAGCAGGAGGTTAGTGCATGGCGTCAGGATCAAAAGCCCGGACATTTTTCAAGTGCGCTGCCTCTAGTAAAGGGGGCAAAATGCGCACACAGATGAATCAGTCCAATTTACGAGCCGAGATGCAGCAACACTCAAAACTACAAAATACAATATTAACCAATGAAATTGCTACATTTGATTTGTCGTCAAACTGTCTTACGAATGCTCGACACAAGTGATTGACCATCCACGACTTACAGCAATTCGTACTCGAGTACGATTTATAGTCGTGCTCGATAAGTCGTACGAGTTATTGTGCTTTGCAGTTATTTTGCCGACCATTTTAGACGCTAAATATGGCAAAGCCTGCTCCTAAATATGTGTGAAAGAAGATACACGGCCTGCTAAAATTATGCATAAATCCACCTCCTCATATATATATCGACTTGGGAGGGCCTGTCAGCAGCCATGCATTGGCCCAGTACACCACCGTCCATGATCCCCAGCACATCCACCCTCTTATGCATAATTGCCGTGTGTGTAGGTGCTTGTGGATAAAAACCGACAGAATTGCAGCTGCACAGCCACAATTGCACTTTTGAAAGTGCAATTATGGCGCTTTTAGCGTAATTCTAGGCCTCCACCCATTTATGCACCTCGATTTATCGTAAATCTAGCAGGTGGTCGTAATAATACAGCAAATCTCGCCTCATATTGCCAAAATCATTGCAAAGCACAAATACAGTCTGAAGTGCCAAAAAGTACAATATGTGTTATTATAATAAACCTGGCGAGATGTGCGCCTAAATACTTTTGTCCAATAAAAACAGAAACTACATAGTGATTATGTCCAATTAAAGCGAATATGTGGTCTACATTAAAGAGAAGTCAACACTGCCGCTCTGCTGGACATGGCGAGCCAGTCGGATCTCCAGCCTGGAGTCGAGGAGATAGCCGCATTCGTGGACGACAGCGTCTTCACTCAGTTGAGCGCGAAACTGGGGGACGCGAAGGAAGGCAACGAGGGAGCACTGGAGAAGAAGCCTCTTCGCATCGATAAGTATTTGAAAAAATATCGCGACGCGGGGCTCCGGGTCTCTCAGCAAGAATTTAAGGGATGCTTGGAGGTGAAGATCAGAATCGTATACGAGTACCCAGACGTGACGGTCGATTTTGCGGAAACCATTACGGTCAAGACGGTGAAAGACCTCCTGGCAAAGTTTGTTCCGGAAGACAACCCCCTCATCACCAAGCTGGGTGAAGACGAAATGATCCGACTCTCGGATGCGTTCACTAAAGTCACGTACGTCGGCAAGGCCCAAGACGACCTCGCAGAATACCTGCGGGACTGCTGGAAAGAGTACAACCCTGCAAAGTACAAGGCGCCATGTGTGGCGGTTGTGCAGAGTTCCGGCTTCGGCAAGAGTCGGACAGTGCGTGAGCTTGCGCTCAAGGCAGAACGAGAACCGAACTTGAACCTGAAAGTTTTGTACATGTGCGCGCGTGTGCACCGATCGACGGGGTTTCCGGAGGCTACGAGTAAGCTTCGTGATTGGCTGTTTGACCCTGCCGCCTCCTCAGTGCAAGAGGTCGCCAGGCGATTGAAGGCGATTTACTGCTATGCGAAAGATCATTGGGCGGACGTTCAGACGGAATGGCTGGAGCTGTTTATCGACAATGCAACTGACAGTTCCGTGTGCGGCCAAGCTTTTGAAAGAAACAGAAATGATAAAGGCGTCCGATTCAGCATCCGTACCGGACACCTTTATCCAAACTACGGGTACCTCCACCGTGAAGGATCCAGATGGCAAAATGGTGGTTCCGGCGATCGATGAAGCGAGAAGTCTGCTTACTGAGGTGGATGGCAAGAAGAACGATTTTCGTATGTTGCGAAATGCTCTTAAATCCGCTAACGAAGATATCGGCCCCGAAGGAGGCATTTTCGGCGTGCTGATTGATACGAACTCGCAGATCTCGGACCTGACGCCGCCTCTGTTGTTGGCCCCAACTTCTCGGAAATCTGGAGGTAGTTTGGCATCGTTCGCGCCGCTTGTACTAGCTGATACGATGGACGCACACTGGGATGACTACTTTGAAGATGAAGAGATAAACGAGGGAACCCAAGTTGCGGTGGGAGCTGAAGACGAAGAGAAAACGAAACAGCAAGAACGTGCTAAGATAGCCATGTACAAGACCGTCGTAACTGGAAGTGACGGTCAGGCCTGGGAGGCGTTGAGGCGCATGGGCCGCCCGATGTGGTACAGCACTTACCCCGATCCAGCTCATAAAGTTCGCGTGATTGATCTCGCGGCGAATAAACTGCTACTGGGGATTCCCCCTTCGCAAAATGCGTACAACAAGGATACCATGTTTGGTGTCGCCTCCATGCTTTGTCGACTGGGTGTTCGACCGCATTCGACGTCGGCTTTGGCATCTCGGGCCCCCGCTGACTTCATGGCGATTCTCGCGTATGTGAACTTCAAACGAGAGGGTTACGTCACCAGCTACGCTTCGGACCCAGTGCTCGCCTTAGGAACGATGAAAGTGTGGTATGAACTGAAATATGGTCTGGCAAAGTATATCCTACCGCAACTCAAGAACCTCCTTTTGGATGAAGCGTTGGACACTGGTGGAGTTGGCGAAATTGGCGAGATGGTTGCTCGCATTCTGCTGCTTCTAGCGATGGACACGTGTGTGATGGGGGACAAAGATTTTTCCCAGTGCTACCATACGATCGGGCAATTTGTACCGGTGCAGGATTTCTTGAACGTGCTAACAGGCCACGAGGAGATGTCGATATATCTCGAGAAGATGATCAGCAAGGAGAATTTGAGACCAGAATTCAACAAGTGGTGCTCGAAGTGGGATGGTTGGTACGTGGGGTTCACCCACTTTGTGCAGTTGCAGCTCGAGCCGAATGAGGACACGCTTTGGTTTTTGCTGGGACGTCAGGCTGCAGGTATTTTCCCCCGTAACCAGTATGGAGCCGATTTGTTGATCCCGATGTTTAAGAAGAGATCCAACAGCAGGCCAGTCGGTGGGGAGACTACGAGGGGTGAACAAGAGGAGCATAAGGTGTTGATGATGTTGATTCAAGTGAAGAATCGTTTCCCAGTCGATGGTGGGTTTTCCAGGGCAGCGACGGAGAAACTATGCCCCTGGTTTGTGTTCGGAAAGAACAGTGATGGGAACTCGTCAGCGGGGAAATCTACCGGTGAAATTGGTGGGGATCCGAAACCGCTGAGTTCCACGGATGTCCGTGATACCATTCGCATCTACATGAATGTGCGCGGTCGGAAGAGTGACGGCAAGTTCATCTATGCCACGACAATGAAAGACAATCTTAAGCCCAAGAAGAAAGGCAACGCCTCTGAGGTGAAGGAGGAGAGTCAGACGATCGGGAGTCAGGCGAAGAAGCGGGCGAAGATCGAGAGCAATCCTGGCGTCTCAAGTGTGTCGAGTGTCTCGGAGGAGGAGCCTGTTTTCACGATCTGCCTCCGTTTGCTCAACAGGGTCACCTACCCGTTCCTGAGCGACGGCGTGGCTTCCATGCTATCAAACATGGTGGAGTCTCAGTATGACCCGCTGGGGCTTGTGGAGGGCGACCTGGACTATCGCGATGAAGATGAAAAACGAAACAAGGACGTTAGTTCGTATGCAAAGTTGTCGCTTACCGCGAAGCGCGACAAGTTGTTGCAGAACGCCCGTAAAGCACTAGCGTACGCGCCGGGTGACAAGGAAGAAGAGTGACGATGAGAGTGACGTTGGTGGCAGTGGTGAGGGCCACTAGGCGATCAAGGTGGCGAGACGGAAACATCCAAGAAACGAGCACGTGAAAACCAAGAGGATGAAGAAGCCGTCCCACTAAACGCGCCAAGTGATCCAACAAGACGCCCAAGCCCACACGGAGGCAGTAACAGTACGTGCCTGGTGCCTGCAGCAACTAGTTTTAACTACCAACAATTTGTTTTACTTGAGAGTACGCAGCCACCTCCAGTGCGCTTCACCTTGCAGTCTTACGGAAGTAGCACGTCTTTTGCTGTCTACGTCGTCTTTACTGCTCTACCTACTCGTCCTGCAGGAACGGGTATTATAGTCCGTGTACCCGCGCGCGTCGCCGAGGTAGAACGTGTCCGTGTCGTAGTCGTTCACGGGCTTGTTGAGTTGGAAGCGCCGCACCAGGTCCGGGTTCGAGATGAAGTGGCGGCCGATGGCCACGGCGTCGGCCGCGCCCTCCTCCACGATCTGCACGGCCGACTGCCGGTCGAAGCCCGACGCGGCGAGGAGCACGCCCTTGTACGTCTCGCAGAACTGCCGCGCCGAGCCCTTCTCGGGTGCCAGCGGGTCACGCACGTGGTAGCCACGCGGCTCGATCAGGTGCGCGTAGGCCAGGTCGTAGTTGTTGAGCCTGTTCAGCACGTACGTGTAGGTGGCGACGGGGTCCGAGTCCTTGTCGCCGAAGCTGCCGCCGAACGGGGACAGTCGGATGCCCACCTTGGACGAGTCCAGACTCTCGAGGATGGCCTCCAGTGCCTCGAACAGGAAGCGCGCGCGGTTCTCGACGCTGCCGCCGTACTGGTCGGCGCGGTCGTTGATGCCGTCGTGCAGGAACTGCTCCAGCAAGTAGCCGTTGGCGGCGTGCAGCTCGACGCCGTCGAAGCCCGCTTTGAGGGCGTTCTCCGCGGCCGAGCGGTAGTCCGCCACGATGCCCGGGATCTCGCTCGTCTCGAGCGCGCGCGTCGGCACGGGCTCCATGCGTCCTTCGCGCGTGACGATCTTCTTGCCGGCGCGGATGTTCTCGAGCTTGGAGCTGGACGACACGGGCAGGACGCCGCCCGGCTGGGGCCGATGCGGCCCGTGTGGTCGTATCTTACCTATGGTATGTACCGCATCGCCGAAGTTATTGTTCGCACATTTATTAATACCATAAAGCGCACTAAACACTTGGTGGCAATTTGGCCGGACTTCCGAGACAACACTAGGAGGATTCTGGAAGCAAAACTCGGGCATTATTTTCAAGAAGAAATACTCTACTTTTGATACGTAGCCATGTATTTACCAAACTACGCACTGTACGGGACTGACTAGACTTGATTGAAATTTGTGACTGGGTTTGGCGGTGCTTTCCAATACAAACATCAAGTATAAAGGATTTGTATTGACCCGGAAAAAAATCGATCGAGTTTTCTGGTACATGTTGCTGAACTGAGCAAGCCCAGCATCGCTACCATGTTGAATAGACGCCAATGAAGACACTAGTCAGCTGACAGCCTCAACTTACGAGTATAGACCTCTCCACACTGTCAAACACCACTCTTCTATACAAATTCAAGATAGTGCGTGTCTCCATTGAATCTTATCAACCGCGTCAGCTTAACCTTATTTGAGCAGCTTACTACAGTGAAGTGCGTCGATAAGGAACGGGCGACATTTTATATTCTACGACAAGACATGAATCCTCGCTTGTACCCATTGTGTGCCAATTGTACTGAATTAGTTATATGATTCTACCAATCATTCGGTCCCGTTTAACATTCCGCCAATCACAGTTCCGAAACCGAGCCTCAAGAGCGGCTGGATGGAGCGGCTCCCAAGTCGGGGGAAATGGAACCTAAAGGTCGCGAGAGGGAATCATGAGCATGAGGATCGCTGTGAGCGCGGAAATCGCGCCAGGTACATGTCTGCATGCCTCATTAACCAACTTTCGCTCTGCTGCTCACAACTCCCATGGTGACCGCCACTTCCAGACCGTTCCAGAGGTGGCTACGTCTGACCAAGCTTCAGTCGCTGCTAATCTGTCATCGCCGTCGTGATCTACCGGGTGCTACCTATGCTGAGTTGGCTGCGTGGGTTCAAGCCGAGACTCTGGTCGCGAAGTCCGACATGAACTACATATTGCAGTAAATCAGTGCATTTGCTGTCTGCATGTGACGAGTCAAACCTTTAATTATCAATATACCTTTTCTTTCAATGTATATCAGGCGTTCCTTATCGACGCATTTTACTGTACCGGTAGGCGTTATTCGAGCTGTTCAATGGAGTTAGTTCATTTATTACGCTTGAAACAGCTCTCCACGAGTTTGTTACCAATCTTACCGATAGCTTACCGGGTGCGGCTATAATTTTGACCCGACCCAAAGTCGGTTTTTCGTCCATTGCAAAAAAACGGTTACAGCTCTTTCGATTCTGATTGTTGCATCTGTTTTCTATCGATTTTAGACGAATCATAAGCAGCGGTTTGGCGCCGAAAGCACAATCATTGGTTTAAAAAAATAATTTTTGGGGTGCGGTTATAATTTCGGCGCGCACTGTATATCACGTAGATGCGGTACCGTGTTTCTGGTACAAAACTGAGGGAAGAAAAATCCAACCGGCCATTTCCACATTTCCCCTCCAAGCCTTGTCCTGTAGCGCCACCGCCCACCGGGACTAGCAGGCATGCCCGCGCCCTTGCCAACGTCGTCATGATACTACTGCCGCATTGCTGACTGTGTACTGCTGTGCTGCTGCAGATGGACATGTCCAGCCAGTTGGATCCCCAGGCTTTGGCCGCGTTCGTGGACGACAGTGTCTTTGCTCAGATGAGCGGGAAGCTTGGAGCAGACGCATCGCCGAAGAAAAATCTTTTCGTTGCGTGGATGCTGGACGACTATCCCAACAAAGCCACACTCCAACTCGAGGCCTCCCAGCAAGATATACATGGATTGATATGGGTGAAGATCAGAGACGCATACGGGCATACACGCGTGTCTCGACCTCTTGCACAAACTATTGCGGCCAAGACGGTGAAAGACCTCCTGGCAAAGTTTGTCCCTGAAGCCCGCTCCGGCACGCCCAAGTTGGATGAAAATGAAATGGAGCGAATCGCGGAGGCGTTCACCAAGGGCCGGTACCTCGGCGAAGCCCACCTCGACCTCGCACAGTATCTGCGGGACTGCTGGAAGGCCTACACCCCCACAAAGTACAAGGCGCCATGTGTGGCGGTCGTGCAGAGTTCTGGCTTCGGCAAGAGTCGGATGGTGCGTGAACTCGCGATTGAGGCTCAAAAGAGCGCCTTGAACATGAAAGTCCTGTACATGTGTGCCCGTGTGCACGAGTCGACGGGGTTTCCCAAGGCTACGAGCGAGCTTCGTGGTTGGCTGTTTCAAGAAGGCTCCAAAGTGGAAGACATCGCCAGTCGATTGAAGACAATTTACGTCTACGCGAACAAGCATTGGGCGGACGTTCAGAAGGAATGGCTGAAGCTGTTTACCGAAAAGGCAGCAGACACCTCTGTAAAGGCGAAACTTTCGGATGAAACAGATACGCTGGAGGGGGATACCTCTACTGAGAAGAATCCAAATGGCAGAATCGTGGTTCTGGTGATCGATGAAGCGAGAAGTCTGCTGGCTGAGAAGGGAGGCAAGAAGAATGACTTCCGAATGTTGCGAAATGCTCTCAGATCCGTGAACAAAGATATCGGCCATCGTGGATGCATTTTCGGCGTGCTGATTGATACGAACTCCAGGATCTCGGACCTGGCGCCTCCGCTGTTGTTGGACCCATCATCTCGGCTTTTCGATGGAGAGTTGGCATCGTTTGCGCCAGTTGTGTTAGCTGAGACAATGGACGCACACTGGGATCAATACTGTGAAGAAAAACAAGCCGGCGAAGATGAAGAAATGAAAGAGGACATCCAAGATGTAGATGAAGAAATGAAAGAGGAAATACTAGATGCGGGAGCAGAAGATGAAGAAATGGAAGAGGAAACTCAGGTTGCGGTGGGAGCTGAAAAAGACGAAGAGAAGAAGAAACAGCAAGAACGTGCTAAGATAGCTATGTACAAGAGAATCGTTACCGGGGATGCGAGTCAAGCTTGGCACGCGTTGTGCCGCATGGGGCGTCCGATGTGGTACAGCACTTGCCCCAATCCTGCGGATAGAGAAGATGTGATCAATCTTGCGGCGAACAAGCTGCTACTGGGGATTCCCCCTTCGCAAAATGCGTACAACAAGGATACCATGCTTGGTGTCGCCTCCATGCTTTGCCGTCTGGGCGTGCGCCCGCATTCAACGTCGGCTCTGGCATCTCGGGCGACTGCCGACTTCATGGCGATTCTCGCCTATGTGAATTTCAAGCGAGAAGGTTACGTCACCAGCTACGCTTCGGACCCAGTGCTCGCCTTAGGAGCGATGAAAGTGTGGTATGAACTGAAACATGGTTTGGCAAAGTATATCCTGCCGCAACTCAAGAACCTCCTTTTGGATGAAGCATTGGACACCGGTGGAGTTGGCGAAATTGGCGAGATGGTTGCTCGGATTTTGCTGCTTCTGGCGATGGACACGTGTGTGATGGGGGACAAAGACTTTTCCCAGTGCTGCCACACGATCGGGCAATTTGTACCGGTGCAGCAATTCTTGAAGGTGCTACAAGGCAAGAAAAAGCTGCCGATATATCTCAAGCGGATGATCAGCAAGGAGAATTTGAGACCAGAATTCAACAAGTGGTGCTCGAAGTGGGATGGTTGGTACATGGGGTTCACCCACTTTGTGCAGTTGCAGCTTGAGCCGAATGAGGACACGCTTTGGTTTTTGCTGGGGCGTCAAGCTGCAGGTATTTTCCCCCGTAACCAGTATGGAGCCGATTTGTTGATCCCGATGTTTAAGAAGAGATCCACCAGCAGGCCAGTCGGTGGGGAGACAACGAGGGGTGAACAAGAGGAGCAGGAAGTGTTGATGATGTTGATTCAAGTGAAGAATCGTTCCCCAGTCGATGGTGGGTTTTCCAGGGCAGCGACGGAGAAACTATGCCCCTGGTTTGTGTTCGGAAAGAACAGTGATGGGAACTCGTCAGCGGGGAAATCTACCGGTGCAATTGGTAGGGATCCGAACCCGCTGAGCTCCACGGATGTCCGTGATACCATTCGCATCTACATGAATGTGCGCGGTAGAACGCGTGACGGCAAGTTCATCTATGCCACGACAATGAAAGACAATCTTGAGCCCAAGAAGAAAGGCAACGCCTCTGAGGTGAAGGAGGAGAGTCAGACGATCGGGAGTCAGGCGAAGAAGCGGGCGAAGATCGAGAGCAATCCTGGCGTCTCAAGTGTGTCGAGTGTCTCGGAGGAGGATCCTGTTTTCACGATCTGCCTCCGTTTGCTCAACAGGGTCACCTACCCGTTCCTGAGCGAGGACGTGGCTTCCATTCTATCAAACATGGTGGAGTCTCAGTATGACCCGCTGGGGCTTGTGGAGGGCGACCTGGACTATCGCGATGAAGATGAAAAACGAAACAAGAACGTTAGTTCGTATGCAAAGTTGTCGCTTACCGCGACGCGCGACAAGTTGTTGCAGAACGCCCGTAAAGCACTAGCGTACGCGCCGGGTGACAAGGAAGAAGAGTGACGCTGAGAGTGACGTTGGTGGCAGTGGTGAGGGCCACTAGGCGATCAAGGTGGCGAGACGGAAACATCCAAGAAACGAGCACGTGAAAACCAAGAGGGTGAAGAAGCCGTCCCACTAAACGCGCCAAGTGATCCAACAAGACGCCCAAGCCCACACGGAGGCAGTAACAGTACGTGCCTGGTGCCTGCAGCAACTACCGGTAGTTTTAACTACCAACAATTTGTTTTACTTGAGAGTACGCAGCCACCTCCAGTACGCTTCACCTTGCAGTCTTACGGAAGTAGCACGTCTTTTGCTGTCTACGTCGTCTTTACTGCTCTACCTACTCGTCCTGCAGGAACGGGTATTATAGTCCGTGTACCCGCGCGCGTCGCCGAGGTAGAACGTGTCCGTGTCGTAGTCGTTCACGGGCTTGTTGAGTTGGAAGCGCCGCACCAGGTCCGGGTTCGAGATGAAGTGGCGGCCGATGGCCACGGCGTCGGCCGCGCCCTCCTCCACGATCTGCACGGTCGAAGCCCGACGCGGCGAGGAGCACGCCCTTGTACGTCTCGCGGAACTGCCGCGCCGAGCCCTTCTCGGGTGCCAGCGGGTTGCGCACGTGGTAGCCACGCGGCTCGATCAGGTGCGCGTAGGCCAGGTCGTAGTTGTTGAGCCTGTTCAGCACGTACGTGTAGGTGGCGACGGGGTCCGAGTCCTTGTCGCCGAAGCTGCCGCCGAACGGGGACAGTCGGATGCCCACCTTGGACGAGTCCAGACTCTCGAGGATGGCCTCCAGTGCCTCGAACAGGAAGCGCGCGCGGTTCTCGACGCTGCCGCCGTACTGGTCGGCGCGGTCGTTGATGCCGTCGTGCAGGAACTGCTCCAGCAAGTAGCCGTTGGCGGCGTGCAGCTCGACGCCGTCGAAGCCCGCTTTGAGGGCGTTCTCCGCGGCCGTGCGGTGGTCCGCCACGATGCCCGGGATCTCGCTCGTCTCGAGCGCGCGCGGCGGCACGGGCTCCATGCGTCCTTCGCGCGTGACGATCTTCTTGCCGGCGCGCAGGACGCCGCCCGGCTGGGGCCGATGCGGCCCGTGTGGTCGTATCTTACCTATGGTATGTACCGCATCGCCGAAGTTATTGTTCGCACATTTATTAATACCATAAAGCGCACTAAACACTTGGTGGCAACTTGGCCGGACTTCCGAGACAACACTAGGAGGATTCTGGAAGCAACTCGGGCATTATTTTCAGGAAGAAATACTCTACTTTTGATACGTAGCCATGTATTTACCAAACTACGCACTGTACGGGACTAGACTTGATTGAAATTTGTGACTGGGTTTGGCGGTGCTTTCCAATACAAACATCAAGTATAAAGGATTTGTATTGACCCGGAAAAAAATCGATCGAGTTTTCTGGTACCACGCCAATGAAGACACTAGTCAGCTGACAGCCTCAACTTCGAGTATAGACCTCTCCACACTGTCAAACACCACTCTTCTATACAAATTCAAGATAGTGCGTGTCTCCATTGAATCTTATCAACCGCGTCAGCTTAACCTTATTTGAGCAGCTTACTACAGTGAAGTGCGTCGATAAGGAACGGGCGACATTTTATATTCTACGACAAGACATGAATCCTCGCTTGTACCCATTGTGTGCCAATTGTACTGAATTAGTTATACGATTCTACCAATCATTCGGTCCCGTTTAACATTCCGCCAATCACAGTTCCGAAACCGAGCCTCAAGAGCGGCTGGATGGAGCGGCTCCCAAGTCGGGGAAAATGGAACCTAAAGGTCGCGAGAGGGAATCATGAGCATGAGGATCGCTGTGAGCGCGGGAATCGCGCCAGGTACATGTCTGCATGCCTCATTAACCAACTTTCGCTCTGCTGCTCACAACTCCCATGGTGACCGCCACTTCCAGACCGTTCCAGAGGCGGCTACGTCTGACCAAGCTTCAGTCGCTGCTAATCTGTCATCGCCGTCGTGATCTACCGGGTGCTACCTATGCTGAGTTGGCTGCGTGGGCTCAAGCCGAGACTCTGGTCGCGAAGTCCGACATGAACTACATAGTGCAGTAAATCAGTGCATTTGCTGTCTGCATGTGACGAGTCAAACCTTTAATTATCAATATACCTTTTTCTTTCAATGTATATCAGGCGTTCCTTATCGACGCACTTTACTGTACCGGTAGGCGTTATTCGAGCTGTTCAATGGAGTTAGTTCATTTATTACGCTTGAAACAGCTCTCCACGAGTTTGTTACCAATCTTACCGATAGCTTACCGGGTGCGGCTATAATTTTGACCCGACCCAAAGTCGGTTTTTCGTCCATTGCAAAAAAACGGTTACAGCTTTTTCGATTCTGATTGTTGCATCTGTTTTCTATCGATTTTAGACGAATCATAAGCAGCGGTTTGGCGCCGAAAGCACAATCATTGGTTTAAAAAAATAATTTTTGGGGTGCGATTATAATTTCGGCGCGCACTGTATATCACGTAGATGCGGTACCGTGTTTCTGGTACAAAACTGAGGGAAGAAAAATCCAACCGGCCATTTCCACATTTCCCCTCCAAGCCTTGTCCTGTAGCGCCACCGCCCACCGGGACTAGCAGGCATGCCCGCGCCCTTGCCAACGTCGTCATGATCCTACTGCCGCATTGCTGACTGTGTACTGCTGTGCTGCTGCAGATGGACATGTCCAGCCAGTTGGATCCCCAGGCTTTGGCCGCGTTCGTGGACGACAGTGTCTTTGCTCAGATGAGCGGGAAGCTTGGAGCAGACGCATCGCCGAAGAAAAATCTTCTCGATGCGTGGATGCTGGTCGACTATCCCAACAAAGCCACACTCCAACTCGAGGCCTCCCAGAAAGATATACATGGATTGATATGGGTGGAGATCAGAAGAGCATACGGGCATACACGCGTGTCTCGACCTCTTGCACAAACTATTGCGGCCAAGACGGTGAAAGACCTCCTGGCAAAGTTTGTCCCTGAAGCCCGCTCCGGCACGCCCAAGTTGGATGAAAATGAAATGAAGCGAATCGCGGAGGCGTTCACCAAGGGCCGGTACCTCGGCGAAGCCCACCTCGACCTCGCACAGTATCTGCGGGACTGCTGGAAGGCCTACACCCCCACAAAGTACAAGGCGCCATGTGTGGCGGTCGTGCAGAGTTCTGGCTTCGGCAAGAGTCGGATGGTGCGTGAACTCGCGATTGAGGCTCAAAAGAGCGCCTTGAACATGAAAGTCCTGTACATGTGTGCTCGTGTGCACGAGTCGACGGGGTTTCCCAAGGCTACGAGCGAGCTTCGTGGTTGGCTGTTTCAAGAAGGCTCCGAAGTGGAAGACATCGCCAGTCGATTGAAGACAATTTACGTCTACGCGAACAAGCATTGGGCGGACGTTCAGAAGGAATGGCTGAAGCTGTTTACCGAAAAGGCAGCAGACACCTCTGTAAAGGCGAAACTTTCGGATGAAACAGATACGCTGGAGGGGGATACCTCTACTGAGAAGAATCCAAATGGCAGAATCGTGGTTCTGGTGATCGATGAAGCGAGAAGTCTGCTGGCTGAGAAGGGAGGCAAGAAGAATGACTTCCGAATGTTGCGAAATGCTCTCAGATATGTGAACAAAGATATCGGCCATCGTGGATGCATTTTCGGCGTGCTGATTGATACGAACTCCAGGATCTCGGACCTGGCGCCTCCGCTGTTGTTGGACCCATCATCTCGGCTTTTCGATGGAGAGTTGGCATCGTTTGCGCCAGTTGTGTTAGCTGAGACAATGGACGCACACTGGGATCAATACTGTGAAGAAAAACAAGCCGGCGAAGATGAAGAAATGAAAGAGGACATCCAAGATGTAGATGAAGAAATGAAAGAGGAAATACTAGATGCGGGAGCAGAAGATGAAGAAATGGAAGAGGAAACTCAGGTTGCGGTGGGAGCTGAAAAAGACGAAGAGAAGAAGAAACAGCAAGAACGTGCTAAGATAGCTATGTACAAGAGAATCGTTACCGGGGATGCGAGTCAAGCTTGGCACGCGTTGTGCCGCATGGGGCGTCCGATGTGGTACAGCACTTGCCCCAATCCTGCGGATAGAGAAGATGTGATCAATCTTGCGGCGAACAAGCTGCTACTGGGGATTCCCCCTTCGCAAAATGCGTACAACAAGGATACCATGCTTGGTGTCGCCTCCATGCTTTGCCGTCTGGGCGTGCGCCCGCATTCAACGTCGGCTCTGGCATCTCGGGCGACTGCCGACTTCATGGCGATTCTCGCCTATGTGAATTTCAAGCGAGAAGGTTACGTCACCAGCTACGCTTCGGACCCAGTGCTCGCCTTAGGAGCGATGAAAGTGTGGTATGAACTGAAACATGGTTTGGCAAAGTATATCCTGCCGCAACTCAAGAACCTCCTTTTGGATGAAGCATTGGACACCGGTGGAGTTGGCGAAATTGGCGAGATGGTTGCTCGGATTTTGCTGCTTCTGGCGATGGACACGTGTGTGATGGGGGACAAAGACTTTTCCCAGTGCTACCACACGATCGGGCAATTTGTACCGGTGCAGGATTTCTTGGACGTGCTGCAAGGCAACAAGGAGAGACCGATATATTGTAAGGGGATGTACAACGCGGAAGATAAGAGACCAGAATTCAACGAGTGGCGCTCGCAGTGGGAGGGTTGGTACGTGGGGTTCACCCACTATGTGCAGTTGCGGCTCGAGCCGAATGAGGACACGCTTTGGTTTTTGCTGGGGCGTCAAGCTGCAGGTATTTTCCCCCGTAACCAGTATGGAGCCGATTTGTTGATCCCGATGTTTAAGAAGAGATCCAACAGCAGGCCAGTCGGTGGGGAGACAACGAGGGGTGAACAAGAGGAGCAGGAAGTGTTGATGATGTTGATTCAAGTGAAGAATCGTTCCCCAGTCGATGGTGGGTTTTCCAGGGCAGCGACGGAGAAACTATGCCCCTGGTTTGTGTTCGGAAAGAACAGTGATGGGAACTCGTCAGCGGGGAAATCTACCGGTGAAATTGGTGGGGATCCGAAACCGCTGAGCTCCACGGATGTCCGTGATACCATTCGCATCTACATGAATGTGCGCGGTAGAACGCGTGACGGCAAGTTCGTCTATGCCACGACAATGAAAGACAATCTTAAGCCCAAGAAGAAAGGCAACGCCTCTGAGGTGAAGGAGGAGAGTCAGACGATCGGGAGTCAGGCGAAGAAGCGGGCGAAGATCGAGAGCAATCCTGGCGTCTCAAGTGTGTCGAGTGTCTCGGAGGAGGATCCTGTTTTCACGATCTGCCTCCGTTTGCTCAACAGGGTCACCTACCCGTTCCTGAGCGACGGTGTGGCTTCCATGCTATCAAACATGGTGGAGTCTCAGTATGACCCGCTGGGGCTTGTGGAGGGCGACCTGGACTATCGCGATGAAGATGAAAAACGAAACAAGAACGTTAGTTCGTATGCAAAGTTGTCGCTTACCGCGACGCGCGACAAGTTGTTGCAGAACGCCCGTAAAGCACTAGCGTACGCGCCGGATGACAAGGAAGAAGAGTGACGCTGAGAGTGACGTTGGTGGCAGTGGTGAGGGCCACTAGGCGATCAAGGTGGCGAGACGGAAACATCCAAGAAACGAGCACGTGAAAACCAAGAGGGTGAAGAAGCCGTCCCACTAAACGCGCCAAGTGATCCAACAAGACGCCCAAGCCCACACGGAGGCAGTAACAGTACGTGCCTGGTGCCTGCAGCAACTAGTTTTAACTACCAACAATTTGTTTTACTTGAGAGTACGCAGCCACCTCCAGTACGCTTCACCTTGCAGTCTTACGGAAGTAGCACGTCTTTTGCTGTCTACGTCGTCTTTACTGCTCTACCTACTCGTTCTGCAGGAACGGGTATTATAGTCCATGTACCCGCGCGCGTCACCGAGGTAGAACGTGTCCGTGTCGTAGTCGTTCACGGGCTTGTTGAGTTGGAAGCGCCGCACCAGGTCCGGGTTCGAGATGAAGTGGCTCCACGATCTGCACGGCCGACTGCCGGTCGAAGCCCGACGCGGCGAGGAGCACGCCCTTGTACGTCTCGCGGAACTGCCGCGCCGAGCCCTTCTCGGGTGCCAGCGGGTCACGCACGTGGTAGCCACGCGGCTCGATCAGGTGCGCGTAGGCCAGGTCGTAGTTGTTGAGCCTGTTCAGCACGTACGTGTAGGTGGCGACGGGGTCCGAGTCCTTGTCGCCGAAGCTGCCGCCGAACGGGGACAGTCGGATGCCCACCTTGGACGAGTCCAGACTCTCGAGGATGGCCTCCAGTGCCTCGGACAGGAAGCGCGCGCGGTTCTCGACGCTGCCGCCGTACTGGTCGGCGCGGTCGTTGATGCCGTCGTGCAGGAACTGCTCCAGCAAGTAGCCGTTGGCGGCGTGCAGCTCGACGCCGTCGAAGCCCGCGCTGATGGCGTTCTCCGCGGCCGAGCGGTAGTCCGCCACGATGCCCGGGATCTCGCTCGTCTCGAGCGCGCGCGGCGGCACGGGCTCCATGCGTCCTTCGCGCGTGACGATCTTCTTGCCGGCGCGCAGGACGCCGCCCGGCTGGGGCCGATGCGGCCCGTGTGGTCGTATCTTACCTATGGTATGTACCGCATCGCCGAAGTTATTGTTCGCACATTTATTAATACCATAAAGCGCACTAAACACTTGGTGGCAACTTGGCCGGACTTCCGAGACAACACTAGGAGGATTCTGGAAGCAACTCGGGCATTATTTTCAGGAAGAAATACTCTACTTTTGATACGTAGCCATGTATTTACCAAACTACGCACTGTACGGGACTAGACTTGATTGAAATTTGTGACTGGGTTTGGCGGTGCTTTCCAATACAAACATCAAGTATAAAGGATTTGTATTGACCCGGAAAAAAATCGATCGAGTTTTCTGGTACATGTTGCTGAACTGAGCAAGCCCAGCATCGCTACCATGTTGAATAGACGCCAATGAAGACACTAGTCAGCTGACAGCCTCAACTTACGAGTATAGACCTCTCCACACTGTCAAATACCACTCTTCTATACAAATTCAAGATAGTGCGTGTCTCCATTGAATCTTATCAACCGCGTCAGCTTAACCTTATTTGAGCAGCTTACTACAGTGAAGTGCGTCGATAAGGAACGGGCGACATTTTATATTCTACGACAAGACATGAATCCTCGCTTGTACCCATTGTGTGCCAATTGTACTGAATTAGTTATATGATTCTACCAATCATTCGGTCCCGTTTAACATTCCGCCAATCACAGTTCCGAAACCGAGCCTCAAGAGCGGCTGGATGGAGCGGCTCCCAAGTCGGGGAAAATGGAACCTAAAGGTCGCGAGAGGGAATCATGAGCATGAGGATCGCTGTGAGCGCGGGAATCGCGCCAGGTACATGTCTGCATGCCTCATTAACCAACTTTCGCTCTGCTGCTCACAACTCCCATGGTGACCGCCACTTCCAGACCGTTCGAGAGGCGGCTACGTCTGACCAAGCTTCAGTCGCTGCTAATCTGTCATCGCCGTCGTGATCTACCGGGTGCTACCTATGCTGAGTTGGCTGCGTGGGCTCAAGCCGAGACTCTGGTCGCGAAGTCCGACATGAACTACATATTGCAGTAAATCAGTGCATTTGCTGTCTGCATGTGACGAGTCAAACCTTTAATTATCAATATACCTTTTTCTTTCAATGTATATCAGGCGTTCCTTATCGACGCACTTTACTGTACCGGTAGGCGTTATTTGAGCTGTTCAATGGAGTTAGTTCATTTATTACGCTTGAAACAGCTCTCCACGAGTTTGTTACCAATCTTACCGATAGCTTACCGGGTGCGGCTATAATTTTGACCCGACCCAAAGTCGGTTTTTCGTCCATTGCAAAAAAACGGTTACAGCTTTTTCGATTCTGATTGTTGCATCTGTTTTCTATCGATTTTAGACGAATCATAAGCAGCGGTTTGGCGCCGAAAGCACAATCATTGGTTTAAAAAAATAATTTTTGGGGTGCGGTTATAATTTCGGCGCGCACTGTATATCACGTAGATGCGGTACCGTGTTTCTGGTACAAAACTGAGGGAAGAAAAATCCAACCGGCCATTTCCACATTTCCCCTCCAAGCCTTGTCCTGTAGCGCCACCGCCCACCGGGACTAGCAGGCATGCCCGCGCCCTTGCCAACCTCGTCATGATACTACTGCCGCATTGCTGACTGTGTACTGCTGTGCTGCTGCAGATGGACATGTCCAGCCAGTTGGATCCCCAGGCTTTGGCCGCGTTCGTGGACGACAGTGTCTTTGCTCAGATGAGCGGGAAGCTTGGAGCAGACGCATCGCCGAAGAAAAATCTTCTCGATGCGTGGATACTGGACGACTATCCCAACAAAGCCACACTCTAACTCGAGGCCTCCCAGCGAGAGATACATGGATTGGTACGGGTGGAGATCAGAAGAGCATACGGGCGTACACGCGTGTCTCCACCTCTTGCACAAACTATTGCGGCCAAGACGGTGAAAGACCTCCTGGCAAAGTTTGTCCCTGAAGCCCGCTCCGGCACGCCCAAGTTGGATGAAAATGAAATGAAGCGAATCGCGGAGGCGTTCACCAAGGGTCGGTACCTCGGCGAAGCCCACCTCGACCTCGCACAGTATCTGCGGGACTGCTGGAAGGCCTACACCCCCACAAAGTACAAGGCGCCATGTGTGGCGGTCGTGCAGAGTTCTGGCTTCGGCAAGAGTCGGATGGTGCGTGAACTCGCGATTGAGGCTCAAAAGAGCGCCTTGAACATGAAAGTCCTGTACATGTGTGCCCGTGTGCACGAGTCGACGGGGTTTCCCAAGGCTACGAGCGAGCTTCGTGGTTGGCTGTTTCAAGAAGGCTCCGAAGTGGAAGACATCGCCAGTCGATTGAAGACAATTTACGTCTACGCGAACAAGCATTGGGCGGACGTTCAGAAGGAATGGCTGAAGCTGTTTACCGAAAAGGCAGCAGACACCTCTGTAAAGGCGAAACTTTCGGATGAAACAGATACGCTGGAGGGGGATACCTCTACTGAGAAGAATCCAAATGGCAGAATCGTGGTTCTGGTGATCGATGAAGCGAGAAGTCTGCTGGCTGAGAAGGGAGGCAAGAAGAATGACTTCCGAATGTTGCGAAATGCTCTCAGATCCGTGAACAAAGATATCGGCCATCGTGGATGCATTTTCGGCGTGCTGATTGATACGAACTCCAGGATCTCGGACCTGGCGCCTCCGCTGTTGTTGGACCCATCATCTCGGCTTTTCGATGGAGAGTTGGCATCGTTTGCGCCAGTTGTGTTAGCTGAGACAATGGACGCACACTGGGATCAATACTGTGAAGAAAAACAAGCCGGCGAAGATGAAGAAATGAAAGAGGACATCCAAGATGTAGATGAAGAAATGAAAGAGGAAATACTAGATGCGGGAGCAGAAGATGAAGAAATGGAAGAGGAAACTCAGGTTGCGGTGGGAGCTGAAAAAGACGAAGAGAAGAA